TGTTCCCCAGCAGGAGGAAGGCAGCAGCAAGGAATCACGCTCCGGCTGAGCCCGGCAGCGCCGGCACAGCCGAATTCCAGTCTGGGAACCGCCCACGGCCGCGTTCCCGCCGCCTCCTCCCCACCTGGAGCCTCCACACTCGGAATTCACGCCGGGAATGCATTCCCGTTTCACCACAGCAGGGTGCTGAGTTGAGCAAACCCCCGGCTCTGCCTCGCTCCCCAAATCCAGGGCTTTGAAAAACCCCAAGGTCATTCCTGAAAAACCCCAAGGTCATTCCCAAGTCCTCCCCAGCAGCAATTCCGGGAGGAACGCGGCAGCTCCAGCCCTGGAAAAACTCATCCTGGGGGAGAGGGACTGCGGATCTGCGTGGAGGGAGGGGGAGATTCGGGAGAGAGGGAAGCAGCAGAGGGGAAACGAGAGAAATCCAGGCGAGAAAACAGCGGGGAGCTTTGAGACCCAGTGGAGCTCACACGAGCCATCCACGTTTTCTGCAAAATGGGGAAAACGTGGATCCTACTGCCAAAAAACTGTGTTTTGGGCTGATTCTGTGCCAACCCTTCTGCCCTGAGCTCTCCCTGAATGGATTGGATTCCCTGAGRGACATTTGGAGGCGGCTGCGCCGCTCCGGAGCCGCCGGGGTTAAACGCAATCAGCGCCAGCCCCAGAGTCAGCTAAACAGAAGGAAAACAAAAATTATCCCAAATTCTCTCTCCGCCCCCGCAGCGCGTAAACAGCGGAGCCTGATCGCTCTCCAGAAAGCCACCGAGGGCGTTTCTCTAATCAGAGGAGAGCGGGGAGAAGTGGCTGCGCGATGAAAAAGCCAATTATCCAGCAGGGATGCACTCCCTGCATCTGCGTCAGTGTGCTCGCCAGCCCCAAAAACCAACACACCGAGGGGCTGTGCACCAGACAGGGCCTTTTATGGGGTCTGGAAAGGYAGTGCCAGATCCAGGACCTGGAATTCCTACTGGGATCCAGCAGGAATTGTTTTTGTGCCTATTTCCATGCAGAGCTGTGTCTGCACGCCCCAGGATCCAGCAGAGCAGCCCACGATGAATAGAGAGAGAAGCTCTGCACCAGACAGGGCCTTTTATGGGGTCTGGAAAGGCAATGCCAGATCCAGGACCTGGAATTCCCACTGGGATCCAGCAGGAATTGTTTTCTGTGCCCATTTCCGTGAAGAGCTGGGTCTGCACACCCCAAGACCAGCGTGTGCAGAGCAGCCCATGAAAGAGAAGCTCTGCATCAAAAAGGGCTTTTTTAGGGTCTGGAAATCCAGTGCCAGATCCAGGATATGGAATTCCCCCTGGGATCCAGCAGGAATTATTTTCCATGCCCATTTCTGTGCAGAGCTGTGTCTGCACGCCCCAGGATCCAGTGTGTGCAGAGCAGCCCACAATGAACAGAGAGAGAAGCTCTGCATCAAAAAGGTCTTTTTTGGGGTCTGGAAAGGCAATGCCACATCCAGGATATGGAATTCCCACTGGGATCCAGCAGGAATTGTTTTCCGTGCCTATTTCCGTGCAGAGCTATGTCTGCACACCCCAAAATCCAGCCTTTTTATGGGGTCTGGAAATCCAGTGCCAGATCCAGGATGTGGAATTCCCACTGATACCCAGCAGGATTTTTTTTTCCGTGCCCATTTCCATGCAGAGCTGTGTCTGCACACCCCAAAATCCAGCATGTGCAGAGCAGCTCATGATAAACAGAAAAGCTCTGCATCAAAAAAGGTTTTTTAGGGTCTGGAAATCCAGTGCCAGATCCAGGATCTGGAAATCCCACTGGGATCCAGCGGGAATTGTTTACCGTGCCCATTTCCATGCAGAGCTGTGTCTGCACACCCCAGGATCCAGCAGAGCAGCCCACGATGAACAGAGAGAGAAGCTCTGCAYCARAMAGRGYYTTTTWTRSGGTCTGGAAAGGCAGTGCCAGATCCAGGAYCTGGAATTCCCACTGGGATCCAGCAGGAATTGTTTTCCATGCCCATTTCTGTGCAGAGCTGTGTCTACAYGCCCCAAAATCCAKCCTTTTTAWGGGGTCTGGAAASSCARKGCCAGATCCAGRAYMTGGAATTCCCACTGGGATCCAGCAGGAATTKTTTTCYGTGCCCATTTCCATGCAGAGCTGTGTCTGCACACTCCAAAATCCAGCGTGTGCAGAGCAGCCCACAATAAAGAAAGAGAAGCTCTGCATCAAAAAGGGCTTTTTTAGGGTCTGGAAATCCAGTGCCARATCCAGGATATGGAATTCTCACTGGAATTCCCACTGATACCCAGCAGGAATATTTTTCCATGCCCATTTCCATGCAGAGCTGTGTCTGCACRCCCCAAAATCCAGCGTGTGCAGAGCGAGGTGGGCACCGAGGATCCTCTGGCTGCCCTGGGGACCTGGGAGAGCTCCAGGGATTTCCCCTTGGAGCTCCAGGATTTCCCCATGGAGCTCCAGGATGTCTCCACGGACCCTGGGGATGTCCCCATGGAGCTCCAGGGCAGCACAGGGATGGTCCAGCTCTGTCCCCAGGCCATGCAAGCCCCCAGGTGGGGACAGAGACGGGGGACAGCAGCCCTGGGGCGTCACCAGGGCGGGGCTGCTYCCAGGCAGGGGCAAATCCTGCTTTTCCATGGCATTCCCGTGGCTCAGGCAGCCCTGGGGACAGTCCCAGAGGTCACTCTGTGTCCAGAAAAGATTTAAAGCCAATCTGCTGGGTATCCCAGGGTATCCTGGGGTATGCCAGAGATGGGCAGTGGAAAGAACCAGCAGGATTCAGGCTCAGCCTCGCCCTCCTCCCAGCAACACTTGTGAACTCGGGGTTTTTTTTTTAACAAAAACCTCCAATTTCAGCTCCCCCTGAGAAGGGTGGTCTCAAACACCAGCCCTGCAAAGGAGGAGAAGAGGTAAAACCGGGAGGAAGCAACGAGGAACTGGGGAGCGGGAGGGAAAAACCAGCGAGGTTTGTAACTTGTTCAACAGCGTAAAAAAAACGGGATTTTTTTTTTTTTTGTTTGTTTGTTTTTTCCAACTCTTTCCCGCCCCATCCTTCCTGTTCGGGGCTTGAGCGTGCGAGTGGAGGCTGAGAAAGGGAAAAGAGAGAGAGGCAGGTGGGGTTAAGGGGGTGCATGTGCTCGGTGTGGTTGTTAGAATCATGCATCGAAATAGACCATCACTCACTGCCCGCAGGAGGAGATGCAGCAGCAGCAGCAACAGCAGAAGTGGTGGGAGTGGAATTGACGGAGGAAAGAGCTACATGGGTTGGGCTAGAAACATTTTTTACATCGTGGTGCTGGCTCACGATGGAAGGCTGTCTCCTGAGGGCTCCCTGCAAAGAGGAGGCGCCGGTCTGGAATGTGTAAACTACGTCCATCTGCAAAGAATCAGAGAGTGAGATAGCGACCGCCCGGCCGGGGATGGGGACAGGGACWGGGCGGGGACATGGGAGAGGAGAGGCCGGGCGGACACATGGACAGCGAGGAAGGAGGAGGATGGAGAGATGAGGAAGAGGAGGAAAAAAGGAAAGAGCCCCGCCGCCCCCGCGCTCGCTCCCCTGACCCACGCGGGGCTGGGGGGGCGGGGAGAGCTCCCAGCTCTGCCCTTTCCAGGGACAGAGGGCGGCAGGATTGATCCCCACACCGGGAAAAGAGGCTGYGGAGAGGGGCAGAGRCAGAGGAAACACCCGGGGTTATCCYGAAAATCTGCACYGGGAGCAGAGAGAGACAGAGAAACTGAGACAGGCTGGGCAGAGGTGCGAGAGGGCAGCGGGGGAACTGCGCTGGCAATGGGCTCCCGGAGCTGGGGACACTCTGGAGACACTCTGGGGACACTCTGGGGACACTGTGTGGCACGAGGAGATGGTCCTCGGGGAGCCTCGGGGCTCTGGACTGGAGCCGGTGGGGACCACGGTGGCGGGGCCAGGGCTGTGCTGAGGACGTGTCCAGAGGCTCAAGGAACCGGGCAGTGTCCGGTGCCACTGCCGGGCACTTGGTGGCCGGAGCACCCCAGTCCGGTGACACAGCTCCTGGGGACAGCTCCTGCAGCCACATGGCACCCCGGGGACAACTCCTGCAGTCCCGTGGCACCCTCAGGATGCTCCTGCAGCCCCAATTCCAGCTCCTCGTGCCGCGGAGCCGTTTCACACACGGCTTCGCTCCTGTCCTGCTCCGATGTCCCTCTTTTCCCCACGTTCTGGGGACACCCCAAGAGGGGACAGGAGCTCCCCAGGAGGCTCCAGGACGTGGCAGCTCCATCGGGAGCGTTTCTCTCTCAGCACGGCCCCAGCACAGGGAGACACCTGGGAAGCTCCGGGGGCACCTCTGGCCCCGCGGGCTTTGGGGCCTGCTGCATTCTCAGCACATCTGGATGCTTCCAGAAGGTTCTGGAAGCTCCCAGCATGTTCCTTGTGAGGATGAAGCACCGGTTACCCCACACAAAAAGCACCTCGGTGCTCAGGACGAGCCAGGAATGGAGGCTGGGCTTCACTGCGACGCCATCGAGGTGACACCRCTGAGGTGACACAGAGGTGACACTCACAGAGGTGACACCACCAAGGTGACACTGTCCAGGTGACACCATCGAGGTGACACCACCGAGGTGACCAAGGTGACCTCATTGAGATGACAACCATTGAAGTGACACCGTCAAGGTGACATCAAGATGACACCATTGAGATGACAACCATCAAGGTGACAACATCGAGGTGACACAATCGAGGTGACACCACTGAGGTGACAACCATCAGGGTGACAACCATCGAGGTGACACCATCGAGGTGACACCACTGAGGTGACATCATCAAGGTGACACCACCAAGATCACACCATCAAGGTGACACCATTGCCATTGAGGTGACACCATTGAGGTGACACAGAGGTGACACTGCCGAGGTGACAACCATCAAGGTGGCAACATCAAGGTGACACCACCAAGATGACACCATCAAGGTGACACTCACAGAGGTGACACCCCTGAGGTGATGCCATTGAGGTGACACTCACAGAGGTGACACCGCCGAGGTGATACCATTGAGATGGTTCCATTGAGGTGACACCACTGAGGTGACACCATCAAGGTGACAACCATGGAGGTGACACTGTTGAGGTGGCACTGCTGAGGTGACACTCACAGAGAAGGGAAGGTCACTCTGCCCCAGCCCCTGTCCCCAGGGCCATTTGTCACAGGGACAGAAAGGAGAAGGAGCAGGGGTGACCATGGGGACACCAGGATGTCCATCCATGGGACAGCTCTGCCCAGGCCTCGAGGGAAAGCAAGGGGCACGTTTGCCCAGAAATCTGGGGCAAAAAACCACCCTTTTGGGGTGGGAAAAAACAGAAAAAATTATGGAAAAAATCAGGGAAAACCAACCCAAAAAAATTCACAGAAAAAAAGCCAGGGAAAACCAACAAAACTTCAAGAAAAACCAACAAAACGTCAAGGAAAACCAACCAAAGCAGATGAAGAGAGATCTTCTCGTGCCCTTCTGTGCCGTGGGGTGCACAGGCACGGAGGGGTGGCACGGGGACGGGGTGACCACGGCTGGCGCTGCAGACCCCCATTCCCAGTGGGAACAGCGTCACAGCGGCCACTGAGGGGTGGCACAGCGACACGGTGACCACGGCTGGCACTGGCAGAACCCCATTCCCGACAGGAATGGTGTCACAGCGGCCACTGAGGGGTGGCACAGGGACAGGGTGACCACGGAGAGACTGGCAGATCCCCATTCCCAGCGGGAATGGTGTCACAGCGGCCACCGAGGGGTGGCACAGGGACAGGGTGACCACGGCTGGCGCTGGCAGATCCCCATTCCCGACAGGAATGGTGTCACAGCGGCCACCGAGGGGTGGCACAGCGACAGGGTGACCATGGCTGGCGCTGCAGACTCCCATTCCCGACAGGAATGGTGTCACAGCGGCCACTGAGGGGTGGCACAGCGACAGGGTGACCACGGCTGGCGCTGCAGATCCCCATTCCCGACAGGAATGGTGTCACAGCGGCCACCGAGGGCTCCGCAGACCCCTCACAGCCCCCCATGCCACTGGGGTGATGGTCAGCAGCACGTCCAGCCTCCCGCTGACCGCTCAGAACAGCCTCCCCCCGCCCAAAAACCCAGATTATCCCAGCTCCCTGCGGCTGCACGGCCGGCCCGGGAGGCCACRGCGTCACCTCTCTGTGGACACATCCCCCGGAGAGGCGGGGAGAGCGTGGGGAGGAAGATGAGGAAGAGGATGAGGAGCCACCCCGGCCCCCAGGCTGTCGTGTACCTGGGTCTGGATGCGGTTGAGCCCCCGGAACCACAGGATCTGCCCCCGGCGCAGCTCCATCTCGGCGTGGTCGATCTCGTCCACGTCCTCGGGCAGCTCCTCCTCGGGGATCTCCTCCTTGGTGATGCCGTGCCCGGCCTCCTTCAGGAACTTCAGCTGGCTGGTGGGGACGGTGCAGATCACCTGGGGACAGCGGGGACAGCGCGGCTGCTGAGCCACCAGGCCACCAGGACAGCGGGGCTGGACTGGGGCATCCTGCTGATCCGTAGGGATCCCTTGGGAATGGCCCTGTCACTGCTGTTAATGTCATGGTCACTACTGGGTGTGTCACTGTCACTGCTGGGTGTGTCCCTGTCACCGCCAGGTGTGTCCCTGTCACCACCGGGTGTGTCCCTGTCACTGCTGGGTGTGTCACTGTCACTACTGGGAGTGCCACTGTCACTGCTGGGTGTGTCCCTGTCACTGCTGGGTGCGTCCCTGCCATGCCGGGTGTGTCCCTGTCACTGCCAGGTGTGTCACTGCCATGCCACGTGTGTCCCTGTCACCGCTGGGTGTGTCCCTGTCAGTGCTGGGTGGGAATGTCACTTCTGGGAATGTCCCTATCAGAGCTGGGAATCTCACTGTCACTGCTACAAATGGCCCTGTCACCGCCAGGTGTGTCCCTGTCACTAGTGGGTGTGTTCCTGTCACTGCTGGGTGTGTCACTGTCACTGCTGGGTGTGTCCCTGTCACTGCTGGGAATGTCACTGTCAGTGCTGGGTGTGTCCCTGTCACTATTGGGAGTGCCATTGTCACTGATGGGCATGTCATTGTCACTGCCAGGTGTGTCCCGGTCACTGCTTCGAATATCCCTATCAGAGCTGGGAATGTCCCTGTCACTGCTGGGCGTGTCACTGTCAGTGCTGAGAGTGTCACTGTCACTGCTGGGTGTGTCCCTGTCACCACCAAGTGTGTCACTGTCACTGCCAGGTGTGTCCTTGTCACTGCTGGGAGTGTCACTGTCACTGCCAGGTGGGTGTCTCACTGCTGAGTGTGTCCCTGTCACTGCCAGGTGTGTCACTGCCATGCCACGTGTGTCCCTGTCACCGCTGGGAATGTCCCTGTCACCACCAGGTGTATCCCTGTCACTGCTGGGTGTGTCACTGTCACCACTGGGTGTGTCTCTGTCACCGCCAGGTGTGTCCCTGCCATGCCAGGTGTGTCCCTGTCACTGCTGGGTGTGTCACTGTCACTGCTGGGTGTGTCACTGTCACTACTGGGAGTGCCACTGTTACTGGTGGGTGTGTCATTGTCACTGCCAGGTGTGTCCCTGTCACCGCTGGGTGTGTCCCTGTCAGTGCTGGGTGTGTCCCTGTCAGTGCTGGGTGGGAATGTCACTTCTGGGAATGTCCCTATCAGAGCTGGGAATGTCACTGTCACTGCTACAAATGGCCCTGTCACTGCCAGGTGTGTCCCTGTCACTAGCGGGTGTGTTCCTGTCACTGCTGGGAGTGTCACTGTCACTGCTGGGTGTGTCCCTGCCATGCCAGGTGTGTCACTGTCACTGCTGGGAGTGTCACTGTCACCACTGCGTGTGTCCTTGCCATGCCAGGTGTGTCATTGTCACTCCCAGGTGTGTCCCTGCCATGCCAGGTGTGTCCCTGTCACCGCTGGGAATGTCCCTGTCACCGCCAGGTGTGTCTCTGTCACCACTGGGTGTGTCCCTGCCATGCCAGGTGTGTCACTGTCACCGTCAGGTGTGTCCCTGCCATGCCAGGTGTGTCCCTGTCACCGCTGGCAATGTCCCTGTCACCACCAGGTGTGTCCCCCTGCTGCAGGGTGGGGCTGAGGCTTCACCCCTTCCGAAGCAGCCTCGTAGAAATATCAGGGAAGGGACAGAGGTGAGGATTTTGGGGTGGACGCTCACCTGGCCCCACAGGAGCTCTCCCACGCCGATGAAGATGCACCAGAACCACTGGCTCAGGGTGAGCCCGGAGCAGCTGAAGGGCTTCCCCCCGAACTCCACGATGATGATCTGTGGCACACAAGGTGACAGTCACACCGGGGCAGCTCTGGGGCCACCAAAATGTCTCCTGGGCCACGCTTCTCCCTCTCCTGGGATCCTCAGAGGGGCAGGGACCTCACA